TTAATTTTATCCTTCTCTTTGTCAAACTAACTCCAATGTATGCTTCAGTTTTCAGCCGGAATATTTCTCCTTAGACTGTTTCCTCTGTTATAAGCTCCAGTCTCACCTTGCCTTATTAATAATCACTTATCACACCTGTTAGTTGGTTTATTGAACACCTGTCTTTTCTGATTGGCTTAGCTCAATGCCTATTTCATATATGGGCATATTCCCAAAACCCTGCACAGTGCCTAGCACATATTAGGCACTCAGTACATGTTGGCTGAATGAATTAGTAAGTTATGAAACCTTCAAAAGACATCCAATATAAGGAACATTTTATTTAGAGACATCTTGAACATGATTTTATCTTCATTTTCCATTAAGGCAGTAACATTCTTCCTGGAAGCAGATGGAGGAGAATCATCTGAGGCTATGTTAAGTGCAGATTAAGACAAAGCCAGCCACTTTGCATTCAGATGCTGCAGAAATACAGGTTATGGACCAGGAGAAGCCATTTATTGGCTTCCTGAGACCACTGCCAAGGCGCAGATGAAGGGCGATGCATTTCAATTGCTTTGAAAAATGGCTAAGTTCCATTACATACCACCCCTAAAGAAGGTGCCGCATTGATGAGCCCTTTTAGCATGAGGAAGTCTACTGTTGGGTCACAACACTCTGCTGCTGTTTAGCCTTTGGTAGGTTTTCATGGAAATTGTATAATCTATTATGGTTGCTTAAATTCACACTGTTCCTCTGGTTTTGTTTTGGAATTCTTTAAATATCCAGTAAATTAGTAAAGCAACTCAGGCAGTTCTTATCCAGCTTGACATCTGACTAGGTAAGGCTAGGTAGGTGTAGGGGTGTGTGTGTGTGTGTGTGTGTGTGTGTGTGTGTGTGTGTGTGTGAGACGGGGGATGAGGTGGGGGCCTGTTCATTGGCACATATTGCCCCCTGGGAGTTTGGGGGTGGCAAAAAGCTTCTACAGTATCAAAAAAGTAAACATTGATAATATGGCCTGGCAGCAATCAGATACACTGAGATCTAAGAGCAAATGAAAGCAGAGCAGGATTGTTCCCAGTCACCAGATATTTAGCCATTCCACAATAACTAGGTCTAATGTGCAGCACTAAATACTTGGAGAGGTCATGTCAAAAGATGGCTGCTTTGTTATGACTCCACGCTGCCCCCTCGTGGTTTGCTGCTCAATTACACACTCCTTGGATCTAACTAAGAGGTAAGAATCTACCTGAAGGCACAGTATTCAAGATATTACATCTGGTCTGAGCCCAAATCCTAGGGTAAAAACCAGAGGGCTTCCTATTGGCTGAACAAACAAAACATAACATGTGAGACCATAGTTCTGAGGAAAAGCTCTGATGAGGAGTCTTATGTCTGTAGGTTACCAGAGACACTTGGGACCCCAACAGCCTGACTGATTTGTCAGATGCTCTATATGGCTCAGAGGTGAGGATGGCCTACAGAGGTGGGCTAGAGAAGGCATAGTTTTGAGAGGGTGGAAAGCAATGTCACAGGGAGACGGAATGCAGGAGGAGGACAAAAAGAGAGGACATATCAAATGTTGGCCTTCAGAAACAGGATTTAAAACTGGTTTGATGATCCCCCTGATGGCCCTCATCTTAAACAAAAATGCAACCACATTAAGCTGGTTTGAAAGAGTATGTTAAAATTAAAAACACCGCGGCTTCTATGCTTGACTAACGGCAGGAAGCAGGAACAATGTCTGGAAAATAAGTTCTTTTTTTCCTCTAGATTTTCAAAGTAGCAATAAATTCAGTAAAAAAATATTTGTAAGACATTGGGTCTTCTGCAAAGAAGGAATCACTTTTTGTTAAATATAGGAGAGGCTACCTGGCTGAACAAGCATATACTTTTTGGAATATTGTATAATGTCACCAAGTTGAAAACTTTGGAATGGCTTGAATTGTTTCCGTGCTTCCAGGGAATATCTGTTGCTGAGCAGTCAGGAATGAGTGTGCCATCTCCAGCTTCACCCGCTGGGCCTTACACTCTCTTCATGCCTTTCCCCATGAGGCAGGCAAACACTGTCATGACCATTTTGGGGTTCACTTCAACCAGGTCTTCCGGAAGGGCATATACTCTTGTTCCAATTTTTCGAGCCATAGAGATGGCATACCTAGAGGGGGAAAAAAGAGGAAGAATGAGGAGAACCAGAGCAACAAAAGTATAAAGGGGGACCCCTCAGGATCACAGTTATAGTCATTTTATATAATGTATACTTCGATATACTATATACAACACTCCTGGTATGACTAGAGCCAGTCACTGGCATCCTCCCACTGTTGGGGGGGGGGCAAATCTGGGTTCCACAAAGCTCCTGACTCCATCAGACTTGCTGTCTAGCCTATGGAATTTATTACTTGTCCTTAGAGGTCTTCTTAGCTCTTGCCACGTTTGATGCCTACACCATGAGTATTGTCTTGGGCTATAGAGCAGCAGAAAAGTCATCAAACTGAACAAGAATGTGTGCTAGAAAAAGTGTGCAGACCATATTTCAATGACAGAAACATATTTACAAGGAAAAAAAGGGAAAATGCATCTATAATACTTGGACCTTCCACATCAACTCTTTTATTCCTTGTCCCATTCTAACCCTTGTGTGTGTGTGTGTGTGTGTGTGTGTGTGTGTGTGTGTGTGTGTGTGTNTGTGTGTGTGTGTGTGTATATATATATATATATATATATTTAAGTTGCTATAATAATGGAATAGCTAGAGTATTATACTACACATTTTTCACATAAAATAATCATAGCTACATCAGAACATTAGTGCTTTATTTATAGTTATATGAAAACAATTTTTATTAGTTGTAATCTATTTTCAAATGAGCTCATATTATTACCTGTCAGTCCCTCCATCAACTTCATTTATTATCTAGTAACTTCTCACAATGGCTACTCCAGAGGTTCTCCATTCCACCTAAGGCCCCATGACTCTCTCTGCTCCCCTAAACTAACTTTACTCTTAGTTTATGGATCAAATTAAATTAAGAGCATCAGGCTGGAATAATCCACACTCTTTCTCCTTATCCATCTCTCAACCACTTCCTCTATATTCATTATTAATGAAATAAAATGTATTTTTCATTACAATATAGAAAGGGAAAATTGTTTAAAAATTAGAAAATAGAACTTCAAAATATCATGCACAACTTTGCCACCATAAGCATTTTTAGAATTTTGTATAATTTCTTTTACCCATTTTTTAAGTAATTGTGTATCTTGACCTTACAGGATAGCATTTAGGAGCTGGGGCTCTGAGGTCAGACTTTGACTCTTAGCAGAATCACTTAATAGGTGTAACACCTTGGGCAAGTTCCTTAAAACTAATCACATCCCTCGTGATCATGTAGCCTCAAGGTCTTTTTAAGGTCTTTTTAAAAAATTTCTGGGTCTTCATACATGCTTGTCCCTCTGCTTGAAGTATTCTTCTTACAGCCTTCACCTGTCTAACTCCTCCTTACTTGTCCTTCCGATCCATCTCAGCATGGATGGTATTTGCTCTGCAGAGCTTCAGTTTCCTCCCTGTCTGCTTTGTAGCACCCTGTACTCCCCTTTGCATACCACCCATCACACTTTATTGTAATTCATGTAATTATTTATATTCTCTCCATTAGATTGTGCTAAATACCAGCATACCTGAAACAGAGTTTCCCACTTTTCCAATTGGGAATAGAGAGAAGTGCACCGTTAGGCTATACTGGGGATGCCAAAAAAATGTATACAAGTGGACACTTTGGTCACTGTTGCTCAAGCAATAGTTCGCTGTCATCAGAAGTGTCTGGACACTGATGGTAACCACTTTGAGTACTTCTTGTAATTGCAGAAGTCAAACGTGACTTGTGTTCATTTTTTGTTATCAGTATATATTGAGTATTACAATTTCAAGTTTTTTCCTTTCTTAAAATGTGTATACATTTTTTGGCACCGTGTGTGTGTGTGTGTGTGTGTGTGTATCAGGGCTGCTGGGCACTAGTCACTTGTTTATTCTGAACCTGTGTTATGAGTTGAATTGTGTCTCCCCAAAAAGATATGTAGAAACCCTATCTTCTAGCACCCCAAATTCTGACCTTATTTGGAAATGGGATTGTTTAAGATGTAGTTAGTTAAGATGAAGCCATGCTGGAATAGTTTGCAGCCCTAATCCAGTATGACTGGTATCCTTATGAAAAAAGGCGAAGAGATGCAGACACACACACAGAGGGAACACAGCCATGTGAAGTCACAGACACACAGGGGAGAAGGCCATGTGAAGATGGGGGCAGAGAGTGGAGGGATGCTTCTATAAGCCAAGGATTGCTGACCAACGCCAGAAGGTAGGAGAGACGTGTGGAACAGATTCTCCCTTAGATCCCTCAGAAGGAAACAAACCTGCTGACGCCTTGATCTTGGACTTGAAGCCTCCACACTGTGAGAGAATAAATTTCAGGGAAGTCACCTTGTTTGTGGCATTTTATTACGGCAGCCCAAGGAAAGTAATACACTTTGTTCTGAGAAAGGCACCTCTCTAGAGTAGAGATTAGCAAACTTCCCATAAAGGACCAGATGGTAAATATTTTAGACTTTGTGGGCTTTGTCACAACAACTTAGCTCTGCCATTGCAGTAGGAAAGGAGCTATAGAAAATATATAAATAAATAAACATGGCTGTGTTTCAATAAAACTTTATTTATAAAAGCAGACAACAGGCCAAATCTGGCTCACAGACTTTAGTCTGCTGACACTCACTCTCTGCACTGTAAAGCAAATGGCAGCTGCTTCCAAGCTGGCGAAGACCCTGATCTTGAACCCACTCCTGCTCATTCATATCTATGGGTATTCACAAAAAGGCTGTTTATATTCAGGCCTGCCAAGTACAAACTTTATTTAGAAAATCTCCTATAGATTATGATTATAAAATTGGTTTTATGAAACTATAGACTTGCTTATCAATTGGAAGCATGTTTTTGTTGTTTTCTATCTCGCTCCCTCTAACACTAGGAGACTTAAACCACTATTGCACAATATCTAAAATAACGAAGATGGGACACAAGTCATGAAAAGAAAAAAGCATCAATAGGAAAAGTAAAGTGTTTGCACAAAGGCACGAGCAATGGATTTTATAGGTATGCAGTTGCCAGTTGGGTCCTTCCCTCCCTGACCTCAGGTTTTTTTACATACTTGGCATTGTTGAGTTTCTCTTCATCGTTCAGATTTTCTGTCTTCAAAAGGTCATAGTTAATGGAACCTGGTTGAATGGCATCGATGAGATCCAGAACGGGCAAACTTGTACTAATCTTTGGGTCCTGCACAGAGAGAACGGTGAGTTTTATCAGTATGCCCCCAAATTACTTCTATTTTGCTCAAGGAGTGGGTGGTTCTTTCCTCTAAAATATGAAATATACATAGCCTGGTCTGGGAAATGCCACAGTGTTATACATGGTGCTTCAAATCAACTGTAGTTTCTATAGAGGCATCAGTAGCTTCCTGGGCTTACTAAGGAGAGGAAACCCATTATCTGCCAAGGGGCAGGGAGTCATTCTCAAATAGTGAGTGAATGAAAGAAAGCACAACTAGAGAAAAGTAGAGAGCTTGAAATATAGTATGTTTAGTGTTATACTGGTTATGAGTAGAGGAAGGGATGACTTGAAAAAGAAACCAGAAAGAAGAGACCAATTAGGAGAAACCTGGCTTCATTTTGTGGGGAACATCCCAGAGGTGATGGGCAGGGATAGTGATAAGAGCTCAGATAGATAGGAACTTCAGTAGATGCTCCTTTCTTGGGGACCTCATGGAAAGAAAAGAGTCCATAGGTCCAGGGAGACAGTGATGGCAATTATGCTATTAAATGCAATGACAGTAACTAATATTGGTGTCATATTTTGCTCATCACTTTTTAGTAAGTTAACTCACTTGTCAACACAGATGTGGGCATCAAAATTTAATTTACAGTAAGTAAAGGCAGTTTCTGAGGTTAAGTGACTTGCTGATAAGTGGTGGAGCTGGGATTTGAACCCAGGTATTTCGACTTAAAATCGCGGGCTCGTTCTTTGGCATTTGTAAACATTTTGATGGTCACACCTAGAGCTGTGACTGTTTCTAAGTCGTGAACACATAAAACTCTGCAACATCCATGCTCCTCTCTCGGGGACCTGTGAGTGCAGACATGGAGAGGCAACTGCTCGTCTCCATCTTAACACAGTCAAGTCCAAACACTTCATACCTTGAAGATCCAAATCAGAATCAATTCCAGGCAAGAAACAAAGCAGAGGACACTGTAAGATGCTAGGTCTCTAGCACTGGTCCTCTGTATAGGCGGAATAATATTTTAAAAAAATATAATGGGTCCATTTTTATTTACTCATAGGTACTACAAGAACTACCACAAAATTAAAATCAACATATAATCACAATCTAATTTCCACCATTATCCTGAGCTTCTATCTCCACAGAATTTTTTGGTGAAGAAGCCCAAGGGAAGCAAAATGCAGAGATTTGAGTTTCGCCTTCTTTCTCTGCCCACAATCTTGTGAAGGTGCTGACAGGCAGAGAAATGGCCAGCAACTGGCAGCACAGAAAGGTGAGGAGGGGATGAGGAATAGTTCCACAATGGTTAATCAAAAGTGGATTGTGTTCCTTTTTTAAGGGTTTCACTTTAAAGCAATGTGGGGTTAATTTGAAATTTTCCTTTTGTGGTCCATTTACATGATCAATTCTGAAATGACATAGTGAGAGGACAGGAGAAAGTTAGCACAGAGAGAAACAAGGTGCAAAAGAATTGTCAAACATTCCTAACAGGGAATCCTCACAAGAACACCCCAGAAGTCTCAGGGGAACGTAATGGGCTTCAGGGGCAGCTGTTTACAGAGAGATGCTCCCCTGGGCTACTTAACCGGTCACTTCGCAGTAATGGTTGGGTGACCTATAGATACACCCTGTTCTACAACCTCAGCTGCAGATAAAAGACACTTGTCTCCTCACTGATGGACCATCTATGGCAATCACTAGCCCTAATCTCAGGAGTTACATGAGCTCCAGTTTCCTCACATATGAAATGAGGAAAACAGGAAAAAGCTGACTTCACAATGTCTGTGAAGATGAAATGAGACATTACAAATGAGGAGCCCCTGACACTCAGAGCACATGGAGTGTGCCTTTCCCCTTTGTTCTTCACCACCTTTCCAAACCTTTTTCTGGAAGAACTTGCTCACATCTGTTACCAGCCTTCGCTCCTATCTCGGCTCAGTAATCCAGATGGAATGGTAAACTGGGGTGGGGCGGGGACGGAGGTGGCTGTTATCTGTGATGCGTTCACTGGGAGTGGGCACTCCTGGTACAGCCCAACCCAGAGATGCCTTTTGCCCTTTCTAGTGGGGAAAGATTTTAATTTTTTCTTGATTTGGAAGCATAGGATTGATGTCATGATGAATGCCTCACCGACCCTGTTAATACAACTCTGAAGGGGTCCCTCCCAGTAATCTTGACCTTTAAACAAGAAAATGCAGTGAAGATGGCACAAACATTACAACATGGATCAAGTGCACAGGTTCCTTGAGGCAGGATCCAGTTAATGTGTGAAACATGAGCTAAGAAATTTAATAAAAGATAATGCTATTATTAATAAAAGTGGGATTTGGATACAAGTACAAACTGCTTTTCCTCAGAAAATACTATATGGTAAATCTTTTAGCATTTTACATATCACCAGCATTATGTTAACAATATGAATCATAAAGCTGTGCACATTTAAAAATTATCATATTTTATGTTACTTTGGAAGAACAATGGCTGAAATGGCGTGTAAAAAAATTATGGGTTTTTAAAATTAATGATTACAGGCAAAAGTGAAATAAATTTGTCAATTAAATGGCTTATGAACATCAAAACAACAATGGGTCAATCAAGCAAAATTAAAATTAGAGGGGGAGCCTCAAAACCTCATACTGATGGTCACTTTTAAATAGAGAGAAAACAATAACCTGAAGCATAGAACTCAGGTGGTCACAAGCAGTAGACTAAACATTTTACCTTGAAACTAGAGATGGATGAACTTTTCTCTGCTTCCTTCAATGTTTCATTCACCCAGTTGACAATAATGTCATCATTGACTTTCCGTCCACCTCCAATTTCTTCCAGAATATTCAGTGTGTACCTGAACAAAATCAAGAATGATTTCTGGAGAAAACTTGCTAAAGAATTCAGTATCACAGAAAGTTGCTAGGTATGTCACAGAAGATAACCTGGACACCACTACATTAGTGGGGGGGAAAAGGAAAATATACATACATTAGTTGCTTTTAGAATAACTTAAAATGTAACTCTGTGGTTGTTAGAGTGAGGTGCAGAGCAAACCCCTTCTATGCAATACCATTGTTCTGGGTAGGAAGAGAATGCAGATGAGAAAAGAAGCAAGGAAAGGAAAATGAACCAAAAGATTTGAACCAGTAACGCTTTTCTTAAAGGAACCATAAAAATCAAGGAACAATTCAATGTTAGAAAAGCCCAAGTAACCAACATATTGAAGGACAAAAATAAGCGAATTTCCTTTATACATCGTAGAAGCAGAAATATTAGGAATACCTCACTCTGAAGATCACTTTAAAATAGAAACCAAAGTTAACTTCCGGCCTGAGAGTAAGAGTCACATTAGAGGCATACTGTTAGGAGAACTGGGTTTGTTTGGGAAACATTTTTTAAGAAGGTGCTCCAAGCTCTTAAAATTTCACAGAGGAGGTCCACCATTTCCTAAAGCTGCTCCCTCTGAAAGGGGAATACACAGCAGAAAGCCAAGCAGTTAGGCAGGTTTGTGGGCCTCAAGGCTCAGGCTTGCAGAAGAGGGTCAAATTACCCTTGAAAGGCCTTCAGGGCTCGGGTTTCAATGTGCTGCTGTGCACTCTGAAACTGAAGTATACTGCCATTAAGTCTGGAGGGAGGGCCTACCTAAATGAGGTCACCCTCCAGTTGAGTACCTGGATTCTGCTTACATAAGCCATCAGGTGTCCTCTTCCAGTCACTGTTTCTATGAAAAACACAATTATCCCACAATTTTCCACATGGGCTGCAAGTTTAATCTCTGAAATAGGAATGATACCCTGTTTCCTCCAGGTTATAGCACCTTCCCATCATTGTAGGTGGGTAGGAAAAGGGCCTCTGCAGATATATATATATATTTTCATATATTCATGTTCACCAATCTGACATCAAAGTCCTCTAAAGTATACTCCTCAGACTCCCTCAAGTCAACTGGCTCCTTTTCATTCTGTCTTTCCTCCTCATAGAATTACCTTTCTATAATACAGCTCTGGTCATGTCATTTAAAGTGACTTCCCATGGCCCACAGAATACAGGTCAAATTCCTTAGAATGGCCCATGAGGCCCTTCACAATTTGGCCCTAGTGTCTCTTTTCAGTGGATCTCTGATTTCTTATTCCTGCCTCTCATCCCAGCCTTATCGCTTGGAGGACACACACACTCATGCTCCCACCTCACAGAACCAGCAGCAGCTCCCTCACCACACCATGCATCCTCCTGTCTCCTGCCTCGTTGCCTCCTTGACTCAGCTATGTTCTCTGGCAAACAATTTCTAATTCTTTGAACGATCCCTAGCTTAAGAATCATTTTCCCAACCTATAGCGTGCACCAATCATTATTACACTTAGTTCCAACCTGCTTCCCAGAACTTTTGATGGAATTGATGTGCCTGGCTCTGTCTGCCTACCATGACCCCTCAGACAGAATCCATAACCCTGTTCATGGTGTTTTCAGGGGTTGGCAGAGTGCCTAGTATATATTCAGCATCTAGTAAATGGAGGACTGGAGTGGTGGGTGAAATAAATAGAGTGGCTTCTCCCAGAGAAAGCAAGGAGAACGTAAAGATGAGTAATGCTTAGTCTGGGCCCCAAAATGGGACCAAAATGCTAAGTAAGGACTAATGAGTACAAATGCAATAAGGTCCAGGTAGATTTTCAAAATATCCCTAGTTTGGAAAAAGAGCTTAGTTTTGATTTGTTTTAAATGATGATGTTTTATGACTGGCTTCTTGTTTCTTGATAGTTAGCATGTATCCTCAGTTATTAGCATCTACTATAACATTTAAACATTTATTTTTCTTTTTTTAAAGAAATTTTATTGGGGAACAGTGTGTTTTTCCAGGAACCATCAGCTCCAAGTCAAGTAGTTGTTTCAATCTAGTTGTGGAGGGCACAGCTCCTTGGCCTACGTGGGAATTGAACCAGCAACCTTGGTGTTATGAGTTTGGACTCTAACCACCTGAGCTAACTGGCTGCCCAACATGTAAACATTTCTGCCTACTAAACTCATTAAGGAATGGTAGGTTAGTGCTTGCTTCCTTGGGCATGTCTAAATATATAGCCTGATGAAAACAAACTAAGTTTAATCTTCTAGCAGCTTCACTCATCTCAGGACTGAATTCTCACTTCTCTTCGTCAAGAGTCCCAGCTTACTTTGTTGACACTCTCAAGTGGACAGACACAATGCATTTTGACTTTACTAAAGGACGGGGAAACTTAGATGCAGAAAATAGTGGAGGCAGCTGGTTGCATTCAGGGGTCTGAGAACAATCCTTCATGGTGGCACAGAGTTGTCCTCCTGCCACCTCAGGAGAGATGAAGAGGCTTAACATGGAGTCAGATACCTGTTTACAAGTACAATGATAACAACAAAGGGAAGAAAGGGTAGAATTAGGTTAGAGCTTCAGCTCTAAGCACTAACCGCAGATACAAAATTCAAAATAGAAATCATTTGGTCTGTGTCTACCTACGATTTTTCTTGTGAAATAGTCCATTATTGTCAAACATGTTTGGGGGCAACTGTACTATTATTAAATGGAACCCTCTAGACAAGATCCCAATACCACCAGTGTTTGCCAAACTGTGCTACGCTGAAAAGCCCTGTGTCAAAATGAAACAGCATCGTGAGCCCCAGCTTTGCCAGTGCCTCATTCAACAAAAGGGTTGATGGCATGTACGTGTGTGAGTGGTATTGGACGGGCTGTGGTCATTATTTGTTTGGTTTCCTGACTTCCAACACTTGTTTTATTTACTTAACATTTGAACCAGAAGGACAAACCTTGGTGTTTGGTTTTTCAAGAACCTATCCCCAGTTCACTGTCCACAGCCTGTTTGATTTGGGGAAAATCCCCTCATTTGCCACTTTGTTCATTTGCTGGAGTCTAACCAGAATTCCTGTCTGCCCACAATGCAGCCTACTTGCTTTGGGCTTTTGCCTCCAAATTTATGCAACCATTATTGGGTTGTCAGAAAAGTCATGATGTATTTTTTCTATGTTTTTTTGTTGCAAAAATGTGTCATGACTTTTCTGACAACCCAATATTTGCCAGCTTTCCAATTTGAGAATGATTTCCAGGTTACTGAAGGGGAAAAGGAAGTTGCAGCACACATCTCTCATTTGTTCTTAGGGGGGGAAAATGACATACCATTTATTGCCCAGATAAATGACCAAATTAGCATATCTGTGCAATCCAATGAAATAAATTCCAGCTACAACTGGCTATAAATTTAATAGGTCTGTTAATGTGCAGCACACAGAGAAAAAACTCCC